TACGGGTTATACTTTGTTAAACAAGAAATAAAATGTTAACGTTTACGCATAATACTAACCTGTAGTTTACACGTACATGCTAACGTACAAGTGAGCTTGATTAACCTCTCCAATATTGACATGACCAAAATATTATTTTTTTTCAAAAAGTCCCTTAAACAAAAGAAAACAAGAGTCTAGAAACGGTAAAAGAATTTAAATATCTTGGTAAAAAAATTGTAAAAATCTGCGGCTCATTTCTAAATGCCAAGAAACATCTTTGTGATCAAGCCCAACACGTACTGTATGGTGTTATGGGAAAATTAGACAATTTAACATACCTGTAGCACGTGAACTTGATTTGTTCGATAAAATGTTTTAACCAGTGTTACTTCATGGTTGTGAAATCTGGGGTTTTGAAAACCTAGATATCACTGAACGTGTTTATTTAAAATTGAAAACTTGATGGGTAGTGCTCCAACTTATATGGTTTATAATGAAACAGCTTCTTATTATCTTTTCTTATTTATTCCAGAATATTCTCGTACCGCTGAAAATTGCTCAATAGCCTAGAAAAGAAAAATTCCATGTGTATTAAATCAATATTTAAGAGCTATTGTACAATCTGAAATTGATAAGAATCCTTGGATTGACTGTGTTCATCGTATTTTTGATTCATGTGGACTATCTCATATTTGAATTAAACAGTTTTATTATAATCTTGATCAAGATTGGGTTAATATTCTTAATTTTTCTCAACTGATGAGAAAACAAGATGTTAAAACACAAAAAACCTCTGTATGTTTATATTAAAAATATAATAAATTCTGTCCTCCATGATTTTTCCCCTCATTTATTTCATTATTTCATGTATCATATGTGATTTTTTTTTCTTTTTCTCCATTTTTCTTTTTCTCCCATTTCATTTTCTGATATTCTAATTATATACTAATATCTCTGACCTGAATATATATGCTGTAAATATTTTTCTTTGTCCTCATGCACCATGTATTTAAAAATTTTTTGTGAATAAATGAACTTGAAATTGAACAAATTCATTATAGACTGGACAAAACCACATCATGTTTGAAAATCACTGATATTTTTCCAAATCGGATTTTACATACGTTCATTCTGTGTTGTCACCATAATTAAAACTTAGTCTGAAATATATCACTTAAATTACCATATGGAAACTAGAACTATGTCAGCTTTTATAAGCTTCCAATCTTAGTACAGATTTGAGTAAAAAAAATCCGTAAAATGTATTTTTTTCTCTCTTAGTAAACGATCAAAAGTTTTTGCTTTTGTATAATTGTGTGTCTTTATGTGACAACTTTATCGCATGTGAAAACGAGAAAAAATTAAATATAGGAAGCATATAAAAATAACAAATATATGCTAAAAATGTAAGAAAAGTAGAGAAAATTCGGATTAGCCAATATCCATTTTAGTTAGATTATTTATGTCAATTTGGACATTTCATATTTTAGGCCCTTAATGGTACTTTCTTTTTATGCAGAAAAAAAACATTCCATCTTTTCAAATACAAGTAATGATCGAATAATTGGCAACATGAATTTTTTAATCTAAATGTCCAGGAAAAGGGTAATGACCTTGACCTGACCTTGTCTCTCATATAAAACGGCCAAATTAAATTTCACTGATACCATCACTTAGTGATATTAATTCTGTGAAAATTTCATTAATTTTCAAATACAAGAAATATTAGAAGAATCCTACATTAACTCACTCGAAGGCTTTTTTTTTTGCTGCATTCAGACGTATACTGGCTTAGGACAAAAAATGCAAGGAGAAAGGCCCATCCCTGTTGGTAAGAGTCGATGCTACAACCAATCTACCAAAGTTTATATGACATTGCATTCGATAGAGACAGTTACTCTCTTCAAACATTTGGAATTTCCATGGGTACTAATTGGGCTCCGTTATTAGCAAATCTATTTTTATATTCATATGATGCAGAATTTGTGCAAAATCTTATGCGTGAAAAGGAGCAAACACTAGCTGTTGCCTTTAACTTGACATTTAAATATATTGACGACGTATTGTCAATTAACAATGGTAATTTCCATTTCTACATGTACGTCGATACGATATATCCTGGTGAGTTTGAGATAAAAGATACTACAGAGTCTGACACATTTGTTTCATACTTGAAAATTGTACTTGAAAAAAGACGTTAATGGTAATTTCACAACCAAGCTATATGATAAACGTGAGGACTTTAACTTTTCTTTCGTCAACTTCCCTTACCTACGCAGCAATATACCTTCATCACTTGCATACGGAATATATATATATCTCAGTTGATTCGATACGCAAGAGCATGCTCTATATATGAACAAATTTTAAAACGAGGTAAATTATTTACAAGAAAGTTGATGAAACAAGAATATCAACAGTCTCTTTTTAAGTCATCATTTCGTAAGTTCTATGGTCGATACAATGACCTTGTCAGCAAATACAATTTTTCATTGAGTCAAATGCAGACTGACGTTTTTCATAATTATTGTCCATTATTTATACACTGAATTGACGACAGATTTTTTCCCTTATATCCCAATCATGACAAAGAGCACACGGCGGGTGTGACGGGTCATCAGGGTATGCTCACTCTTCCATGGCACCTGATCCCACCTTATGTTTCGGAGGTCCGTGTTGCTCTGCTCCTAATTTGTACTGTTTATGGACTTTGATATTAAATACTGTTCGTTATCTTCATATCCTCTGTTTATTATTGCAAAAAAAAATATGTACAATATATTACATAATAATAGGAAACACGGACGCGATACCTCTTCGATAAGTTATTTCACTTATGACTCTTATTAGAATTTTCCACTGCTCATCCGAAGACGAAGAGTCCAGAAATGGCTCAACAGTTCAACAGATTTCACATCCAAAGAGTACATGTACATAATGGTTTTTGAAGTAAAAGAAAAATATTTTCGATAATACTTGAGTTATTCATAATGAGAATTTTTGAGTACATTTATTATGGTTAAAATTATAAGAACAGATAGAAAAGAAAAGAAAAAATAACAGAAAATACCATGTCGAAAAATTATTTCGCTTATGACTCTGTGAGAGTAGCTACATGTAGTTTAAGTAGTTCAAGTAAACAATTAAGAAATGTTATCTTATGTTGTTGACTTTCTTTTTCCATCAAATAATTAATATCCATGTATACTACATACTTCAGTAAAATATTTGTTGAACTTAGCTTATATCTAGGCAAAGATTATACATTCAAATGGAAATTTTTTTATCTTCGAAATGAGATTTATATGGAGTACGATTGAATGTGTTCAAGTTTCACAGTCAATTTTAGATTCAACTGTTAACGCATAGATATCAATAGTCAGCCATATCAATGCAAAAAGAAATTTATAACTTCTTCATCATGAATGTTGTAAAAGTAAGTTTGAATTCTCTTGATCTGAAAAAAGTTTCTGTAATCTGAATATATATCCAAATAATGATTTATAAATTCTGAAAATAATGGTAAGTGCACCAAACTCTATTCTAACTGCTAAAATTAGAAACTTCAGAATGAACCCCTAAAATGACTTTCAAGATGAACGTTGATTTTTTTTTCAAATGATGTATTTCTCGCTGTCTGTCTGTCTCTCTGTCTTTTTGTCCGCAAAAAGTTAAACTTGACTATAACTTTTAATTTAGTGGATATACGACTTTCATATTTCACATGTGTTTTTTTTTTGCGACAAAACCTTTCTTTGCGTACCACCAAATTTTAAGCTTTTAACCTTGACCTGGAGTTTGACCCACTCTCACACAAAAATTCCATTTTTTTTTAACTTTCGCCATGATCTTTTGAACAGTAAAAACTAGGACTTTTATACTTCATATATATATATATGTATATATATATATATATATATATATATATATATATATATATATATATATATATATATATATATATATATATATATATATATATATATATATATATTGTGAAAAGACCTTCATTGAATACCAAAAACTTTGATCTTTGACCTTGACGTCGGAGATTACGTACTTATGAAAAAACTTTGACTTTAATATTTAACGGTAAGGTAGTGCTTTCATACTTCAAACATCTTGATATCAAAGAAAAGGTCTTGTAACCAAATATTTTTGATGAAACTTATGGTCTGAAAGAACTAGCTTAACCCTTTAAAAGTTATGGTCAAGGTGTGTTTTTAAAATGTCAAGGTCAAAGAGTCAAATTTCTTGAATTGGTATCCAATGAAAGGTCATCTCACATTGATTACATAGTTTTACCTTGGAATTTGACCTTCCAATTTGACCTTCTTTTAATTTTTTTTAATTCTTGGCCATAACTTTTGAAGGGTTAGGACCAGGGCTTCAATACTTCACATATATATTTTTTGTGGCAAGACCTTTCATTGGATACAGATTTCCTTAACCTGTCGACCTTGACCTTGAAATTTTCTTACTTACAAAAAAATTAACTTTTGCGCTCACTGTTGAACAGTAAGAGTTAGTGCTCTCATATTTTAGCTATGTAATCCTTGTGAAAAAAAAATTTCATTGGATACCAAGAACTTTGACTGTTTCACTTTGACCTTGGAGTTTGAGGAACTTTTAAAAAAAACAAACCTTGATTCAACCAGTGTTACTCTATGGTTGTGAAATCTGGGGTTTTGAAAACCTAGATATCACTAAACGTGTTTATTTAAAATTGAAAACTTGATGGGAAGTGCTCCGACTTATATGGTTTATAATGAAACAGGCTTCTTATTATCTTTTCTTATTTATTCCAGAATATTCTCACACCGCTGAAAATTATTCAATAGCCTAGAAAAGAAAATTTCATGTGTATTAAATCACTAATTAATAGCTATTTTACAATCTGAAATTGATAAGAATCCTTGGATTGACTGTGTTCATCGTATTTTTGATTCATGTGGACTATCTCATATTTGAATTAAACAGTTTTATTATAATCTTGATCAAGATTGGCTAAGAACAAAATGGAGAAGACCTTTGACATAGTGAGGAAAGCAGCAGAAAAGTCTAGAATAAAGCAGAAAAGTCATTTTGACAAGAAAGCAAACGCAAAGAAGCTAAGTATCGGAGAACAAGTTTTATTACGGATTTTAACTTATGAAGGAAAACATAAAATAGGAGATAAGTATGAGGGGAAAGTTTATTTTGTAAAATCACAACCTTACCCGGATATTCCAGTTTTTCTAATTTCAGATAAAAATGGTGTAGAGAAGACAGTCCACAGGAATTTGATCATTCCTACAGGAACAAGAAGAGAACTTACAGATGTCAGGCCTGACACAAGTGTGAGAAGGAAAACAGAGAAAAAGAGTTCACAGATTAAGATGGTGGACAATTCAAAGAGAGAGGAGGGAAAATGCCAAAGTAGTGACAGTGATGAGGTTTATATGGTTGAAGTCAGACGTGATGTGGCACCACATCCAGATTCAGTGCAGACTCAGCAACAAGAGGAAACTCAGGAAGAGGAACCAGAGGAAGATCAAGAAGAAGAGGAACCAGAAGAAGCTCAAGAAGAAGAGGAACCAGAGGAAACTCCACATGAGCAACAGGAGTAACCAAATCTACATCCTGAGGTTGTGGCCCAGGGAGGTAATGAGGAAATTGGTTTATGTAGGTCAGCTGGGGTTAGGAAGAAACCAAAATGGCAAGAGTCATATGTCATGAATCAGAGAGATGTTAATGATGTAGGTAAGGAAAAATCACAATTAATCACAAACTTAATCTGATCAGATGTTTTGAAAGCTACTTCTCCGGCTTTAATACAGAAAGTGGTTAATTCCATTGTAAAATGATGGGACTTCATTTCATAGCCAGGGGGAGGATGTAGAATAGCAGAAATTTGTATATATATATAACTTTAAAAATTGTGTTTTTATTTTTATGCATTTATAATTATGATATATAGGTAGTTAAATAAAAGTTTTACAAATATATAAAAATATAAAGTTATTAAAAGTGTCTGTGTTGATTCATTTTACAATTATGTTGAATTATTTATTTTCCCGCCAAAACTCTGTTGAGCGATTGGTTTATAAATATCACATGACTTGTGACCATAGACAGGTTTTGAATTTCTTTTTGGGTGTTGATCACTCTCGTCCCGTGCTGGGGTACCAGCAGGTTGTGTTTTATAGCAGTTCACTCTAGTGGACTTAGGATTTTCAGTCATGGTATGTTTGACTTTTTGTTTGGCTTTTATCTTTGAAGTTTAAGCATTGTTTCAGGATGAGATTTCTGCATTTATATTTTTCCAGTGATTCAAACTTGCATGTTTAATTCCTTTAGTATAGCACAGCACTTAGTAAAATTACCTGATAATTTGGAGGGCCTAAATTCCATAAGTTTGGTATGTCGTTTGTTAAATACTATTTGTAAACGAAAGTGTAAATAATTGTTTTATTTTATCACTTAACTTTCATAATTAAATAGGTTCAGTGGAGATCACTTTATAAATTAAATTTATGAGTGGTAAAAGTATAATGATATTGAGTTAATGCGTTCAGATATGTATTAATCAGTGAGAGACTATTTCATGATTAGTATTTTGTACGAGAGCTGTTCAATAAATAACGTCCTGGACTGTAAGACATACAATACAGATATCATATGACATTAAACTTGACTTACTCTCATTATTGAATCTTTAATGAATTTATCACAGTTTATGTGACCACTTTTCATCACATCGTTTCATCGTGAGAAGCTGGGAACAAGGGCTATTCGAGACACTGCATTATAAATGAATGGTAATGAATCAGTAAACTAGAGTGAAAATAAACACGTGAAAAGCTTCATTAAAGCTGCTGTAAAGCTTGTTAAAATCCAAAAGCAATATTCACTGAAATATGTGACATTTACATGCCTGTTTTACATACAAATGAGCAGGTGGATTTCAATGATAAAAAATTATATAATGGGCATCAAAAATGGGTACCGTCCTTGCCAACAAACTTATAGCAACTTATGTACTGTTTGCCAGAGAACAAAGTTCACCTTGTGCAACTTTTGGCCCTGTGAATATCTGAAAAATCAGAACTACTCATTTTTAGTTTAAAATATGTTAAATTTCACTTGAACCCTTGGAGACTTCATATCAAATAAAAATGACGTAATTTTTTCTCTTGTCCATGTATTATGTCGTCATGAATTTCGTCATTTTCCTCAAATCTTGAAAATTTCTTTAAAAGTGACCAAAAATTTAAGCTGTATGTGAATATTTTGCATAGCCCCACACCTCTGATCTAAAATGTTCAATTATATTATGAAAGAACTGTTTCAGAAGATTCTAATCCATAAAATTTTTTTGGATCGCGGGGTGGGCTCATATGTTTATCGACAGTTGAAGATGCTCGATTTTACCCATTTTCTTAAAAAATCAACAACGTTGCAGTTTCACATGCCTGAGTTTCCAAACTTGGACACCTACAGGAAATTTTTTTACAGGAAATGAAAGCACTAAGTTTCTACTTGATGTTGATGTTCGAAATGGGACGTTAGGATCTGGTCAGTTAATTGGTATATTGACAGGGCCATTTTATGGAGTTAGTGAACCTATCTCTTTCAACAAGTAATATTTGATGATGTATGATTGACTTTATGACACATAGCAAATTTGGTACACATCATATCGGGAGTAATTTACACTGTTTTGAAGAAACGTTTGACGGTAAAAAAAGCTTGGTACTCAAAGGTCACCCTATATTTTGAAAAATAAGTGAAAACGACAGCGTGTACGAATGTCTTAACAATTATTTTAAAATATCATATTGTAGTTATCCACGTTTGTTTGATATTCAAACAGCTAATGGAACATGAATCTATTGCTTAAAACCCTCAAAACAAAATTTACCATAAAATGCACTTGATAAAAACAGTGAAGGTCTTACAAGAGCAAAGTAATGCAAGAGCACGAAGACAGATTTATATGCAATTTTCTTAAATATAATGGGTATTGTTGTTCAAATTCGTACTTGTGGAGACGGTCTAATTTCTGGAAGAGTCTGGAAAGCATTTTTTGCAAAAAATCGAAAGGTTTATTGGAGAAAGGACCCACAATCAGGAATCCACAATATTATTGCCTGACGTCACCGCGTCAGGCTGTATAAGGATTGATATTTTCATAATCCGAAACTAATAGATCATACCTAGAAAGCTAGATTTTGTGCAAGCTGATTTACATCGGAATTCTTTATCTGCATTTTTAAAGGAAACCGTTTTCAGAAAAAAGAATACTCAGTAATATTACTGATGCAAAATACAGCAGTGTTTACTTCATTTACTCATTTCCATGGAACAATTATTCCATGTACTTCACCGTTTCAAGATGTCCGTGTATCCATTTTTCTTCAATTCTATACTACTGGATCAATCCATTTATATTCTACAAAAGGAGTGAATCGCTCTTTTTGCGCTAAATGTCACTGCTTTCTTCGCGCCTTTTCCTTGGATCGTTCTATTGTATGAATGGGTGTTCCATCTTCCATGGAATTAAAGTTTATCCTAAAGTTTCAGAAATTCTGT